AGTACAATCCCTTTTAACAATTGCACAGCATCAAGTGTAATTCATGTTTTTTTTTTTTTTACAAACATGTTATATAGTACTTACCTGCTCTGTTCAGTGGTGTTGCACAGAGCAGCCCTGATTCCCCTCTGCCTGGGTCCCTGCTGGCATTCATGGCTTCCCTCCCTTGATGAGTGCCCCCATAACAAGCTGCCTACTCTGGGAGCACTTGTGCATGCTCGTGCCCGAGCTGGCTCTGTGTGGCTATAGGCCCCCTGCTCCCTCCTCACTGGCTATGATTGACAGCAGTGGGAGAAAACCGTTCCTGCTGCTGTGTCTGAGCCAATGAGGAGGGAAAGACCCTAGAGAGCTTCTGCTTTCATGCACATCACTGGATTGAGATATGGCTCCGGTATGTATGTTTGGTGGGGGGGGGGGGGGGGGGGAGCTGCATGCAGAAAGTTTTTTACCTTCATACATAGTATGCATGAAGGTAAAACAACTTCTGCCTTTACAACCTCTTTAAATTATTGTGAAAAAAAGTAAAAATATATCTTCTGCAAGTCTATCTATCTATCTATCTATCTATCTATCTATCTATCTATCTATCTATCTATCTATCTATCCCTGTCAGAGAAACCTGTAAAGAGACAAATACAAGGTATGAATACTGGATGCTTTTCTCTCTCAGGTCCAGTGCTTCCTGAGTTTCTGACCCCCACAAAATATGTAGATTAGGTCTTTAAAACAAATTAGAAATTTCTGATCTGCATACCTGTTCCAGGTATGTGTTTCAGAAAGTAATAAAGGCTTTGAGTCATCATGACATACAGGCAATTAGCATTTTTAGGAAGAGGTCAAAAATGGTAATCCCCATAATCTCTAAATGTCTCTTTCAATATTAAAATAGAACCATATTTAACACATATTTAAAACATTGATATATTTTTAAAGTGAGTGTATGGCTATGGACATTTCAATGACTTGACAGTTTTCAGCTGTCGTAAGTAAATGAAGCATGTACTCTAGGAGGGGCAGCAGGATGAGCTAAAGTTGTTGAGAAACTACTAGAAGCAATTTCTGTGCCTTTGCTATGAATTTTAAAAATGAATTGCTCCACAGTGCTCATAGCTAGAGAGGTCATTGAGGGCTTGTTTCACCTTAAAAGGTGGGATGTTAAGGTAGAGGTACCACATTCCATATTCATAACAACACTAATGTAAAGAGTAGAGAAATAGTGGACTTTTGAAGTACTGAACACAACTTCGTAAAATCATACCTTTTTGTTTAATAGCTCATTGAAACAATTGTAAAAATAGTACTTATTCCCTTGACCAACCTCTATTGGCTATCTCTAAATATATACAAAATATATTAATATGTATAAATATATACTAAATATATTTATCTATCTTTCCATTCTTCCAATTAATTATTTTTCCTTTAATCAATTAAAGTGTAATTTATGCCAATGAAGAGGTAGATTTTCTGGAACCAAGATGCTGCACGTTTACTGGTGTGTTTGGGGTCGTTGTCTTGTTGGAACACCCATTTCAAGGGCATTTCCTCTTCAGCATAAGACAGCATGACCTCTTCAAGTATTCTGATGTATTCAAACTGATCCGTGATCCCTGGTATGCGATAAATAGGCCCAACACTGTAGTATGAGAAACATCCCCATATCGTGATGCTTGCGCAACCATGCTTCACTGTCTTCACAGTGTACTGTGGCTTGAATTCAGTGTTTGGGGGGTCATCTGACCAACTGTCTCCGGCCACTAGACCCAAAAAGAACAATCTTACTTTCATCAGTCCACAAAATGTTGCGCCATTTCTCTTTAGGCCAGTCAGTGTGCTCTTTGGCAAATTGTAACCTCTTCAGCACACGTCTTTTTTTCAACAGTGGGACTTTGCGGGGGCTTCTTGCAGATAGCTTGGCTTCACATAGGCGTCTTCTAATTGTAACAGTACTCACAGGTAACTTTACACCTTTTTTGATCTTCCTGGAGCTGATTGTTGGCTGAGTCCTTGCCATTTTGGCTATTCTTCTATCCATTCGAATGTTAGTTTTTTGCTTTCTTCCACATCTTTCAGGTTTTGGTTGCCATTTTAAAGTATTTGCGATCATTTTAGCTGAGCAGCCTATCATTTTCTGCACTTCTTTATATGTTTTCCCCTCTCCAATCAACTTTTTAATCAAGGTACGCTGTTCTTCTGAACAATGTCTGGAACGACCCATTTTCTTCAGAATTTCAGAGAGAAATGCACTGTAACCAGCATGTACAACATTTGCTTCCTTCCTTCCTTAAATAAGGGCAATAATTGCCACCTGTTTTTCAAAGAATAAATGACCTCACTAATAGAATTCCACACTGCTATTATTTTGAACATTCCCCTTTCAATTAGTGATTCAATTACACAGAATCAGCAGCATGCAAGTCATGACTGTTGGATCTGTTGGATTTCTATTACTCTATTACTCTACTACACCTGCTAGTAAATTATTTGCCATGTAGAAATATCATTTCTACCAAAAACAGTGATTGATCAGGTTAGTGATGTCTGACTAGTATTATTTTGAACACAACTGTATACTGCCATTTGTAAACACTATAACTTTCACGTAAACCAATTAATTTACACGTATTAGGACATTAGGATTTTTTTTAGCAAAGACATGTAGCAGAATACATTTTGGCCTAAATTTATGGTGAACTTCGATTTTTTACATTTTTTTACTGGACATGTTTAATAGCAAAAAGTCAAACATTTTGTTTTTTTATCAATATTGTCGGTCTTTTTTTCTTATAGCGCAAAAAATAAAAAACTCACAGGCGATCAAATACCAAAGAAAGCTCTAATTGTGGGGGAAAAAAAGGATATTAATTTCATTTGGGTGCAGCGTTGCATAACCACGCAATTGTCAGTTAAAGTAACGCAGCGCCGTAACTCAAAAAATGGCCTGGCCAGGAGAGGGGGGGGGGGGGGGGGGGGGTCGGGGGGCTAAATCCTCTGGAGGGCAAGTGGTTAATAGAAGTTGCCTCCAAGTCGGATCCTCGTCTACATTGATGTGATTTGGATCTGACATTATAGGAAGGTTACCCAGACATTCCCTGTAAGTTGCTTCAGAGTTGCTTCGAGTCACTCCAAAGTAGTACTCAAGTTGCCTGGCAAGTCGCGCAACTTTTAGGAAGCAGTAGTGTGAACCGAGACTAAAGGGGCCTAACATGTAACAATGTACCTGTGAGCTAGGTGTTTTTACAATTGCTTTAATGCACTGCTATTTAAAACATATGATTTTATGCAATTGTGTTGGGTATTTCAAATATCTGCTATTTCACTATTAGCCTTGTTTCAATGATCATTAACTGCTTGTTAAGAATATGTAAATAAATGACTGTTTAAATTTATCCTAAGTAGTACTTAAGTCTGTCTTTATATTGTATTTTCATAATCCTTTGCACAGCAGGACTCATAAAATTAAGTTGTCAATATAACACAGAGAGCTTAGAAAAAGGAGGAGGAGAAAGCTCTGGCATAACAATCAGTATGCTGCCACACTTCTACTATCCAGACATAGTCTGGGGCAGTTCCACAACCAAGCTGTAATATAGTGAGATTAGGGAAAACTATATATATATATATATATATATATATATATGTGTGTATTTTTCTCCTTCCTGATTTTTTTTCTTGCAGATTTTAAATGATGGTTTAATTTATTAAGGGAAAAAATCTGTCCAACCCTGCCTGGCCCTATGTGAAAAAGTAATTGCCCCCTAAACCTAAAAACTGGTTGTGCCACCCTTGGGCATTAAGCAGTCGTGATAGCTGGCAATGAGTCTTCACATCACTGTGGAGTAAATTTGGCCTGCTCTTCTTTGCAGAATTGTTTTAGTTCAGCCACATTTGAGGTTTTTCCAGCATGAACAGAATAAATGGAGAAGGGGAGAGAGGCGCCCAGGGAACCAATATAGTGTAGTATGTCAATTAATTAAAAAGATCATTAAAATCATATAATATTGCACTCGAAACAGTGAAGTGTTTGCAGGCATGTCATTATGGCAGAAGTCCATAACCGCAGGCAGATAGATGGTTTGATCCACTGGAAGCTGGATGGAGAGGTAGCTACTGGAGATGCAAAGAGGATGTGCACCTTAGAGAGTGGGATGCAAAGCCAGGAAAGTCGCAAAAAGTGCAAGAGCTTCAGCCGCTGTGTGTATTAGTGAATCAGTGAATCGGCGGAACTCTAGAACCGAAGCTTTGCTAGACTGTCGTGCAGGAAAGGATGAGCAGCCTGGTAACGCCACCGAGGGAGTGAGTGTGTGTGACTCTAGGGAACGCGTTTTTAGAAGAACAACAAACTTTCTTCATCAGTCTAACAAAATAGCCTACCTCTGGATATTAAATAGTGTGAGTTAATTGTTAATCCCTCCTGATCTGCATTCTGGCTGAAAATGGCATCAAGACACAGGAACTGTCATTCCAAAAAGACCAGATCAGCACAGCTAAGTACAAACAGACTTATATTGTTAAGCAGCAATTAAGCCATAAACAGTAGGAATAATTAATTATTAACGTCCCTCGCGGTTTGATTATGTCCATATTTCTGTGCTCAAAGCAGTACATTTTTTGCATGGAAATATGTTGTTTTTTTATTGTAGGCCTGTAATTTTTAGGAATAACTCACTGAAATCTGTCCGAACAAGAGTCTAGTAAACATCACAGGTAGGATAAAATTTGAAACACAACATCATAAATTATAATATAATAAATAATCATAAAAAAATAATAATATAATAATATTAATACTAATAATAATAATAAATGTAATTCAATAATGTAATCAAACCAAAAACACTGAAATTTTTAAATATATCGCCCAAGTTCGCACATCACTGAGCTTAGTCGCAAAATCGTTTTCAGTGTCTGATGACGAATTTCCCCAAAAAAAGGTCTAAAACCGCTTTTAACCTAAAGGGACGCTTTTTGGATGTCATGGACATTTCTCAGTTTCCAGGCAGAAAGAACAGTCAAAATGCAGGCAGGGCACAGGACAAAGCACTAGGGACAAAATGTATGTGAAATGGTTTGATACAGTAATGTTTTACTATGTGATTTTAGTGTATTGAGTGAATGTCACTTTTAAAAATTTTGAATTTCCTGCCGGTTCCGTCCCCCATACTTACCTTATGTCCCGACGCTCGCAGGGAACAGAACCCAAAAGACGGATGCAGGCATCGGCCAGAGGAGATGGCCGGGGACGCTGCAGGGGGGACATCGTGGGAGCGCAAGACAAGGTAAGTGAAACAGGGATCCCGGAGCAACGCTGCAGGGTAATCCCGAGTGTAACTCGGGGTTACCGCTTTTGGTACTGAACGTTACTAGGGAATACCGCCAGGGAGGGTAAGTGAACCTCTTTAAAGTCTATATTGAGATTATTATCATCATTCCTAAAATTGTATATATAATAAGAGAACACATAAAAATTACTATATATATATATATATATATATATATATGTGTGTGTGTGTGTATCTTAGATTGTAAGCTCTAATGAGTAGGGCCCTCTGAATCCTCCTGTATTAATTTGTTTTGTAATTGTATGGTCTGCCCTTATGTTGTAAAGCGCTGTGTAAACTGTTGGTGCTATATAAATCCTGTATAATAATTTTTATATATATATATATATACTGTATATACACTGCTCAAAAAATTTCAAAGAACACTTCAGAAACACACCAGATCTCAATGGGGAAAAATATCATGCTGGATATCTATACTAATATGGACTGGGTAATGTGTTATGAATGTAAGGATGCCCCACCATTTGATGGAAATGAAGATTCTCAGCATACAGAGGACTGAATTCAAAGACACCCGGAAATCAAAGTGAAAAAATTATGTAACAGGCTAGGCCATTTTGCTGAAATTTCATTGCAGCAACTCAAAATGGTACTCAGTAGTTTGTATGGCCCCCACGTGCTTGTATGCATGCCTGACAACATTGGGGCATACTCCTAATAAGATGACAGATGGTGTCCTGGGGTATTTTCTCCAATATCTGGTCCAGGGCATCACTGAGCTCCTGCACAATCTGAGGTGCAACCCGGCGATGTGTTCTTTTGCATTTAGGTCAGGAGAGCGTAAGGACCATTTAATAGTATCAATTCCTTCATCCTCCAGGAACTGCCTGCATACTCTTGCCACATGAGGTCGGGCATTGTCGTGCACCAGGAGGAACCCAGGATCTACTGCACCAATGTAGGGTCTGACAATAGGTCCAAGGATTTCATCCCGATACCTAATGGCAGTCAGGGTGCCATTTTTTATCCTGCAGAGGTCTGTGCCTCCCTCCATGGCTATTCCTCCCCAGACCATCACTGACTCACTACCAAAATGGTCATGCTGAAAGATTTTACATTCTCCACGCCTTCTCCAGACCCCTTCACGTCTGTCACATGTGCTCATAGTGAAACTGCTGTCATCTGTCAAAAGCACAGGGTGCCAGTGGTGGACCTACCAATTCTGGTGTTCAATAGCAATTGCCAATAGAGCTCTATGGTTCCAGGCAGTGAGCACAGGGTCCACTAGAGGACTTTGGGCTCTCAGGCCACCCTCATGAAATGTGTTTCTGATTGCTTGGTCAGAGACATTCACACCAGTGGCCTGCTGGAGGTCATTTTGTAGGGCTGTAGCAGTGCTCATCCTGTTCCTCCTTGCACAAAGGAGCAGATATTGGTCCTGCTGATGGGTTAGAGACCTTCTACGGCCCTGTTCAGCTCTCCTAGAGTAACTACCTGTCTCCTGGAATCTCCTCCATGCTCTTGAGACTGTGCTGGGAGACACCTCAAACCTCCTGGCAATGGCACGTAGTGATGTTCCATCCTGGAGGAGTTAGACTGCCTGTGCAACCTCTGTAGGGTCCAGGTATTGCCTTATGCTACCAGTAGTGAAACTGACTCTAGCCAAATGAAGAAGAAGAAGATGAAAGAAGAAGAAGGAAGAAGGAAGAAAAAGAAAAGAAAGAAAGAAAGAAGGGAAGAAAGAAGAAGGAAGAACGAAGAAGAAGAAGAAGGAAGAAGCAGAAGAAGAAAAAGAAGAAGTCTAGTTATACAGCCTTACCTCCGGGATTATGTTTATTTTCACATGTCACAGTATGAAGTATTTGTTACATTGTATCATGTGTGTTTATTTTTAAGTTGTTACAAGGTTCAGTCAATGAGTAGACCATGTTGTTACTCAAGCACTAGCAGTGATTTATTTCACTGAATTAATTAACAACACCTGATCTGTGAATGAGTGCCACAGGCAATTTTCTTTTTTTTGTTTCCAGCATGAACAGCCTGTTTAAGGTCATGCCACAGCATCTCAATCAGATTCAAGTTTGGACTTTGACTAGGCCATTCCAAAACCTTAATTTTGTTTTTTGAGCCATTCAGAGGTGGACTTGTTGGTGTGTTTTGGATCACTGTCCTGCTGCATAACCCAAATGCACTTGAGCTTGAGAACTGATGTCTGGACATTCTACTTCAGGATTTTCTGGTAGAGTGCAGAACCCATGGTTCCATCATTTATGGCAAGTTGTCCAGGTACTAAAGCTGCAAAGCAGCCGCAAACCAGCACAGTACCACCACTATGTGTGACTGTTGGGATGATGTTCTTTTTATGAAATGCTGTGTTCGTTTTATGCCATAAGTAGCAGGACGCACACCTTCAAAAAAGTTCAACTTTTATTTATATTTATATTTCCCAATAGTCATGGGGATAATCAAAAGGTTTTTGACAAATGTAAGATGAGCCTTTGTGTTCTTTTTGGTCAGCAGTGGCTTTGGCCTTGGAACTCTGCCATGGAGGCCATTTTTGTCCAGTCTCTTTCTTATTGTTGATCTTTGAACACTGAATGTGACTGAGGTAAGTGAAGCCTGCAGTTCTTTAGATGATGTTCTGATTTCTTTCATGACCTCCTGGATGAGTTGTTGTTGTGCTCTTGGAGTAATTTTGGTATATCGACCACTTATGGTAAGGATCACCACTGTTCCAAGTTTTTTCAGTTTGTAGATAATGGCTCTCACTGTGGTTCGCTGGAGTCCCAAAGCCTTAGAAAAGACTTTTCCAAAGCCTTAAAAAAAAGACTTTGTAGCCCTTTCCAGACTGATTTATGGCAAGTACTTTTCTTATATGATCTTGAATTTCTTTAGAATGCAGAAAGATGTGTTGCTTTTTGTGATCTTTTAGAGTGCTTCATTTTGTCACACGGCTTCTGTTTTAGTGATTTCTTGATTCAACAGGTCTGGCAGTAATCAGGCCTGGGTGTGACAAGTGAAATTTAACTCATTCATAATTTAGCAGGGGTGGGTAATTACTTTTTCACACAGGGCCAGACAGGTTTGGAAAGCTGTTTTTTTCATAATAAGTGCAATCATTATTTAAAAACTGCAGTTTGTATTCACTTGGGTTATGTTTGTTAAAATGTGTTTGATGATCTGAATAATTTAAGCGTGATAAATATGCAAAAAAAAATCAGGAGGGGGCAAATACCTTTTCGCAGCACTGTGTGTGTATATATATATATATATATATATATACACACATACATATACAGTATACACATATATACAGTGCTTTGAAAAAGTATTCATACCCCTTGAAATTTTCCACATTTTGTCATGTTACAACCGAAAACATGAATGTATTTTATTGGGATTTTATGTAATAGACCAACACAAAGTGGCACATAATTGTGAAATGGAAGCAAAATGATGAATTGTTTTACATTTTTTTTACAAATAAATATCTGAAAAGTGTGGCGTGCATTTGTATTCTACCCCCCGAGTCAATACTTTGTAGAACCATCTTTTGCTGCAAGTCTTTTTGGGTATGTCTCTACCAGATTTGCACAGCTGGAAAGTGGAATTTGTGCCCATTCTTCTTTGCAAAATAGCTCAAGCTTTGTCATATTGGGGAGCATCTGTGAACAGCAATTTTCAAGTCTTGCCACAGATTCTCAATTGGATTGATTTAGGTCTGGACTTTGACTGGGCCATTCTAACACATGAATATGCTTTGATCTAAACCATTCCATTGCAGCTCTGGCTGTATGTGTAGGGTTGTTGTCCTGCTGCAAGGTGTCTCAAGTCTTTTGCAAACCCTAACAAGTTTTCTTCTAAGATTGCTCTGTATTTGGCTCCATCCATCTTTCCATCAACTCTAACCAGCTTCCCTGTACCTGCTGAAGAAAAGCATCCACACAACATGATGCTGCCACCACCATGTTTCACAGTGGGGATGGTGTGTTTAGGGTGATGTGCAGCATTAGTTTTTCAGCACACATAGTGTTTTGCTTTTAGGCCAAAAGGTTCAGTTTTGGTTTCATCTGACTAAAATATCTTCCACGATTGCTGTGCCCCCCACATAGCTTTGTCTTGCCACTCTTCCATTAAGGCCAGATTGTGGAGTGCTTGACTAATACTTGCCCTGTGGACAGATTCTCTCACCTGAGCTGTGTATCTCTGCAGCTCCTCCTCCAGAGCTACAATGGGCCTCTTGGCTGCTTCTTTTATTAATGATCTCCTTGCCCAGCCTGTCAGTTTAGGTGGACGGCCATGTCTTGGTAGATTTGCAATTGTGCCATACTCTTTCCATTTTTGGATGATGGATTGAACAGTGCTCCATGAGATGTTCAAAGCTTGGAATATTTTTTTTATAACCTATCCATGCTTTAAACTTCTACACAACTTTATCCCTGACCTGTCTGGTGTGTTGCTTGGCCTTCACGATGCTGTTTGTTCACTAATGTTCTCTAACAAACCTCTCAGGGCTTCACAGAACAGCTGTATTTATACTGAGATTAAATTACACACAGGTGGCTCTATTTACTAATTAGATAAATTCTGAAGGCAGTTGGTTCCACTAGATTTTAGTTAGGGGTATCCAGAGTAAAGGGGGCTGAATACAAATGCACGCCACACTTTCCAGATATTTATTTGTAAACATTTTTTAAAACCTTTTATCATTTTCCTTCCATTTCACAATTATGTGCCACTTTGTGTTGGTCTATCACATAAAATCCCAATATAATACATCTACGGTTTTGGTTGTGTCAAGGATCCCGGCCGTTCGGAGGTGCGCTAATGCGCAGATCGCCGACACGCACTAGCCGGCGAGCACTGAGACTTAGGCAATCGCGGCAGCGCATGCCTGTCACCAATGAGAGCACAGGGTGCCCTATTTAAACAAGCCCTGTGCATCTCCAAATCGCCTTATGGTCTTGTTCCTGTGTTCCTGATTGTCCTGTACTTCTGACTGCCTTGTTGCCGACCCAGCCTGATCCTGATACTGTTGTCCTCTCCTGCTGTGACCCTTGGCTCGTCCTGAC